AGGGGAGAATTCTTATAGGAATATTGCGGTCTGCTCAATTCAGTTTGGTAAATGAGTTTGATTAAAAAAAACAGGACAAATTAACGCCTCAGGTTGTTTTCATTTATTTTATACGCCATTTGAAGTTAATTTTAATGTTGATACATGATCCTCCACTGATCCTTTAAATAAATTCAAGGCCTGATGTTGGTGTGAAAAAAATGGTCCTCGTGTAAGTGAGTAGGTGATACATTTGCAATATTTCCCACAACTACTGCTTTGCGGTTTATCAATCATTTACTTCACTCTAGACTATAGAGAACAGGGTGTAAGCAGTAATATAGTATAGTATACAAGCGTGTTCAGGAGAAAATATGTCGTGCTTTATAGTTTCACCTGGGTGGATATGTGGTATCTTTTAGCTCTCAAAGGTTGCCATGTTTGTTCTTTTTTCAATACTAGTTCTTGTCTATAATTTTAGACGAAATAAATTGCCAGTTCTACCCTGTATACATCAGTTGTTTAATCAACTGTTTCTCATTGCGTGTGTTCATGGACACATGAGCTGCAATCTGAGACCATTATAGAGACATTTAATACCATGCTGCCATTATTTGTCTACTCATGCCTGTATTATTTTTGTATTTTGAATTGCCTTTGCAGCAACAAGCGAACATAAACAAACCAAATTCCAAAATAGACAAGAACAAAATTATGAATTTTTGTTCAAAATTTATAATAGACCACCACCATGTGTCTGCACTGCTAAGATTTTATTGAATTTATAATCCAAGCATAATCGCCCCAAATTCATTTCATACGCATTCAACCAAGTAACAAACATCATTTGTATGCATCTGATTTCCGGGACAGTGAAAACACACCACACTCTTTCCTCCTATAACAATAAATAATAATAAAGTGTGCGTTGACAACACCCACATGCTATTATAAGTGTGTTCTGCGCGATCTAGACTGAAAAAAAAAAGATTTATCTATAAAACCGCTCTAGCTCTCTGACAATTATTTATTGCAACTACTGGACCAAGCTCTACCTACACTAGTCTAGGTTCTCTCCCATATCCTAGATCATAAAAAACCTAATTATCCTGGGGCCAAGAGCGGTTTATATCAGCCTCAAGGATAAGACCATTAATAAGGTATAACAAGACTAGTACCTACTTCGATATCTTGGACATTCGACTTTCTATAAAATTATTTTGAAGTCTTTTATTTTGAATGTGTATCTGGATGCAAAAAATTGAGTGATTTAATAAGTTGGGGTAAAGAAGAAGTCTCCTCTCACCCAAACGATGACAATGTGTGTTTCTTCTGACTCTAAAAGAAGCATTTTGGCGTGCCTGCCGCGCAGTCAGTTCTATGGTTTTGATGAATGGCAAATGTAACAAATACCTACCAGTTATATATAAGTAAATAGACATTTTGCTGCTAGTGCGACAAAACAAAATCACCAAGTCAATTATTACTGACACGTGTATAGCAAAATTATTGTATTTTTCAAAGCAACCCTGATGAGAAAATATTTTTAGATTTAATGATGACACGATGATAGTCAAAAACAATCTTAGAAAATTGCCAAAAGTCGCAGTTGCGTGCTTTCGAAAAAAACTTTGTTTACAGGCGCAATTTTTGGAACTACTACGCAGAATTTAATATCAACACTACACCTGTGCATAATATGTTCTTATGTTTGAATCATCATTAATTAAATTTTATACGTACAAATAGGAAATTGAGTACATATTATCGCAGTGATATTTTTCCCCACACATCATTATGTATTACCTACTAAAACTAATGCAAAATACATAATTGCATGAAAAAACTTGAGTAAATAAAGTAAGTAATAAAATATTGTCTACAAATAATGCACGAGTTATTGATACCTTTTGCATAATATTGAGGGGGCAAATGAAAAAGAATGATGATTCAAGAGATGGCTCGAATTGAATGTTCTAGTACCTATATGCGCGTATTATGTAATTCAGTAATGGCCGTTTCCTCCAAATATTTTAGGGGAGCCTTAACGATAAGTAGATATTTCCTAAAATGACATTTTTACATCGAGAAATGTCAGTTTAAGGAATACTTATCGTTAAGGTTCTCCTAAAATAGTTTGTTGGAAACGGCCATAAGTCATTGTAAATGAGAGTATTGTTGTATAAACTTCAGTACAAGCGACAAGTGATTACAGTGAAGTTAAATTAGTTCGTGAAGTTGACTCGCGGACACTATCTGGGGAGGAGAAATTCATTCATCATCAATGAGTCTTCTGCATCGACTGCTGGATACAGGCCTCCCTCAGTTTTGAGCACTTCGCATCCAATTGAGTTCTTCTGATGTGGTTGGTCCATCAGTAGAAGGTCTATCTCTACTTCTCCTATTGGCTCTCGGTCTTCATTTGAGCAATCATCTCCTTCATCTTCCATCTGCCATCCGGGCGACATTCCCAGCGATCTGTGATATGACATCAGTGACACCAGTTCTCCTTCGCAGATCTTCGCTCCGGATATGATCCCGCAACGACACCCCAAGCATATTGATCTCTCCATCTTTTGTTCGGTGATTCTCAGCTTCTGAACAGATTAAGGTTTCCTCACAGTGATATTGGTATTTCTGCTTTACATACATCGTGCAGTCTTTCATAGGCAGCCCAAGAAAGTGTTATTCTTCTCTTCAATTCACAGGTTTGATCGCCCCTTGTTATTCTTGTTTTATGACCCAGGTACTACGTAGCACAGGTTCCACCTGGTGACCATCAGCAGCCATACTTTCACTGGATACCAGGTTTATCATTAATTTTGTATTAGAAAAGTTGATGTTTAAACCGACTTCAGATAACAAACTTCCTGAAGTTCCTGTAGCATCTTCCAGATTATGTCGTCTACAAAGCGTACATATAGCTATAATTCTCTAGTTCAGCCATATCCTTTGTTTATGGAGCACTATTACAGTGGCGTTACACCACTTGTAATGTTTGGTACAGTGTGTTCAAAAAGGCAAACATTGAAAAGAGTTTTGATCTTCTGGAGTAGGGATGAACGGCCAATTTCACTTGCGTCAGCCACAACACAATCTTCTCCAGGAGCTTCGTTATTTTTAACTTTTTTCACTGCTAGCATTACTTTATCGATGGTGATTTACATTAATACCTCTGATCCCTAGTTAACTATTCCCTTCTTAGATGTCGTTATCTCTGGCTTTATATTTGAGACGGTGTCTATTGATAGAGGTCTTCAACTATTCTCAGAATATCCCATCCATTTGTTGTCGGAGGTAAAATGCTGCACAGTAGAGATTGAAGCTTTTCTGTTAGCTTGAACTTGATAATTTGTAGTCTGGGCTTTGATTTGAGGAACATATTTATAATCTGTAGCTAGTAGGAGGAGAGATAGCCAATATCAACTGGAAAAAAGTGAATGGTACTTGAAATTATGAATTCGTCCCTAAATTAATTTTATAAATTATAAAATAACACATTTTTGATTTGATATAAATATGCATATTGGAAAAAATCAATTAATCATTTTGAAAAATAAATGCTCTATTTGGCTTGAAATCTATTCAAGCATGATAGTTGCGCATTTATTGATCACGTTTTCGATACACAGAGGAAGTTTAGAAAAACTGAAGTATTGTATACTGATTTGTAAGCTTTGGAAATTGAAAAAAAAAAATGCATTTCGCAAAAGCAACATATTGGATAAAAACTAGTTAATTACTAGCTAATTATAAAAAAACTAACGTTTATTGACCTGTGATGGTTAACCATACGAGAATTTTGCATATCTAGTACTTGATGCACAAGGAGCGATACCACCATAATCTATTTCATGCAAAAATTTAAATTATGATTACAGTTAGTTATTTTATTCATCAGGCATTACCTAGATTAGTAATTTTTGATCAAATATAGACCCACCTTCATTCTAAATTTTTTATCAAAATATAGCCTATAATTCCCAGGTACTGATGTGCCATCATCCTGGAAAAAAATTGATGATATCCCAGAGGTATAGGTACTTTTATTCTATTAGTTTGAAAAAGAGAGAAACTCATATAAATATTGGCAACTTTAAAGGGTATAATTACAAAAGGCAGAGAGGTACCTAATAATAAAGTGACCCTAATATTCTAAAATCCATATATTATTGAACTGCTACTGCATTTCAAGCAGATTGAGTATTGACAAGCTTTTTGGTAATTTATCACAATCAATATAAATTTCAAGACCCAACATGTTGTGGGCGGTATGTCTCTTCTCTCCGATGTCTAGACTCTTAACTTTAACGAAGTGTGCGAAATATTTTTACAAAGGGGCTAAGTCACAATCATTTATTTTAAATGGGGAGCTTACAGTATAAAGACTGCATCGTCAGTGGGGAAAAAATCTCTTTTGAGTGTGGTTTCTATTGTGTTTTGGTGGTAGATGAGAATAATAAATAGCAAATGCATTACATTTGAGGATAAATATTGGGTACCTAAAAAGGATTGAAAACAAATATGCAAAATACATAGAATTTTTAAGTGATGCCTATGAACATATTTGTACTATCTATAGTTGTTAAAAATTATTGATATACATAATTTGTAATCAAACTTAATAATTTTTTCTTTTTATTTCAGGTAAGAAATCTATTTTCTAAAGAAGTATGTACATGTGGTAGGACTGGTAAATATAATATAAATAATTAATAATCTTCGTAGCAACTGTATAGGTATGTCTTTTTGGTAAGCAGATAATTAGAGTCGTCATTTCTGCAGCTTCTAGAAATCCATATTCAGTGGTATGTTTTTCCAGCACTGTTGCTTGAGAATGGAAGTCTATTTTAAATGATGATGTATAGTTTTTTATCCAGAAAAAGTATAGAAATGATTTAGTTGAGGTCAAAGCTTGAGGCTTAACTGGATATTACAAAGTGTTTTTAGTTTCTATTATCGCGTGGCCGTTATAGACTTAGATGCCACAACCACGAATCCACAACGACGGGGTGGCGGTACGAATGCATATGTGAGTGTATCGGCAACGGGACCAAGCCTAAGATCTGTCTATAAATACCGAGTATGTACATGCCTCCCATTCAGTCCCACAGAGACGTCGCTAAATTAATACACCAGACAGCAACCAACCAAGCAACCACGCACCACTCGGTACTGTCGACACTGTAAATTGCCGTTTTGACTCGTATTAGCGTGAATTTAAGTGCCGGTTTCTTCGTTTTTGATAAACGAGTGGTAGATTTTGTGGCGCGTTTCCGTGTAAAAACTTTCTGGAAAAATCGTACTGGTTTTGGTAAATTTAGGACTCTATTTTGATTTTTTTTTTTTTAATTTTCCTTTAAAATTTGCATCAATTTTGCTGAATTTTTCAAAATTTATTAATTTTTTTAGCATAGATTAACTTCAAAAGGCTGGTACTATTGCCCATAGTTAGCGGATTAAAGACTGAGGTCTTATTCAATGATAACAACAATATGTGGATCAAATGAAAATCACTTTACCATGATTTTTATTTTCAAAACTTTTACTTTTATCAAAAATTGATCGCTTCTCAATTTTCTATTGGCATTTCAATGAAACATTCAGGCTGAAAGTGTCAAAAATCAACTTTGTAATAGTTCACCAGATAAATCAATTTGTAAATATCCTTTTAAAAAAAAAACGACGCCAAATTTTTCAGAATTTTGAATATGGTGAAGGCATTTTTATTGATGTATTGTTTTATTGAAATACATGATACATTATTGTCCGTTTAGGAATCCATCTTGGTCATGTGTGCCAACAGAAATTTTGAAATCAAAAAAGTTTTTAATATTATTATTGTGAAACCATTATTGAAAACAATAATGAAATTGAGGCTTATTTATTATGCTTACGTATGTCTCATAAGTTTTCTCACCATACAACTTGGAAAATGGTTTTGGAAACAAAAGTTTGTCAGTTTCAAAGGGTTCAATTTGACATAATATAGGGTTTCCCACCGGGAACCAAATCGATCTATATATGAAAAACTGTATGCAAAAAACTTCTGAAAATTTGACCGTATACTTATGTCAGCGGGGGCAACTCGGCTAAAATATTTTCAAGATGGTGGCACTTCCTGTTATACCGGAAGTAGACGTCAACTTGCTTATTTTAAAGGGGACACCCTGCATATGATTGCATATTTGGATTCTACGTAAAATTCTGAGCAGATTTTATGTGATACCCTTTACCTAATTTCAACTGTTTTAGAAATATTGACAGTTGAAAATTGACTTTTTGCAACTTTGACAGGCTGTAAAACCTAAACGGTTAATTTTAGAGGAAATCCGATTTTACATTCCTATCTCAGATTTTCATAAACTATCATTTGACACCAACTTTGAATTTAACCGGAGACTAGAAAAGTAAAATCGGTTTTCCTCTAAAATTAACCGTTTAGGTTTTACAGCCTGTTAAAATGGCAAAAAGTCAATTTTCAACTGTCAATATTTCCAAAACAGTTAGACTTAGGTATAAAGTATATTACATGAAATCGGCTCAGAATTTTACGTAGAATCCAAATATCCAATCATATACAGGGTGTCTCATTTGAATAAGCAAGTTGATGTCTACTTCCGGTATAACCGGAAGTGAACCTAATTCAACTTTTTTTGTGGATGCCAGTACTGTTTTACGAGGTGCAGTGTACTTCGGACACCTCTCATAAGGGCTATAAGGGACTGGGCGGCCTTAACATCAATGTGACAACCCTATGGCGTAGTTGTCCCAGATTGAATAGGGCGCTCCCGCAGCAAGTTTGAAGGGTTATTATGTTTTGATACATAGGGCCTGAGCCAATTTTGTGTTTCTCTTGTCAATGATGGCAGGAAGCCAAGTCGAGCCAAAATATTATATCATCTTCAGCATGTTCAGCTAGTCCTAGCTGATATACACACAACAAAAAAAGTTTTGTACCGCCCTGTAATGTAACTTCAGAATACTGATCGACAAATGAAAATATTGTTATCTTCAACTATGGAATGTGTCCAGCACATTCACTGAAAAAGGTTCAGGAATCTGAAATTGTTTATTATTTTTTTATTGATATTTTTTTAATTTATATATCGCTGAATATATAAAATGAGATGGTGCAAAACTTTTTTTGTTGTGTATAGTTTGAGGAAAGCTCCCACTATCTCAGCGTTAGGCAGTCGCCCAACAAAATTAATATAACTGTTAATGTTGCAAGTACAAATCGTCCCGATCTGACCATTAAGTCTCTGGGTATAGGCCTACACCCTGTCAACTTGCACAACTTTCTCTTCTACGTGCATTCTCCATAACGACGCCCTAACGCATAAACAAGCGCACCATAGTTTCGTTGGAAAGAAGGCGGAAGTCTTTAATAGTTCCAACGCAATGCTACAGTTAAGCCTGTCGCCATGTCATCGGAGCTCCAACCATTACTCTTTGCAAGAGCATGAACTGACGCCTGTACATCGGTCACAATGTTTTTCCGTCATATGGTGGTGGCTCAACTTTTAAATTTTGTTTGACTCAACAAAATCCAACTTTCAAATTTTGTTCTCAAACCCATCTATTTCTTGGCGAATGGTTCCAACTTCCTGATGAACGGTTGCCACTTCCTGATGTATAGTTCCATTTTCCTGTACAACACTCTTTCTGTCTTCAGGCACTCTCTTCTTGCATTTCTTTCTGTCTTCTGGAACTCTCCTCTTGTCTCTCTGTCTGTGGTCGATCTTTCCTCTTCTTGACAGTCTTCGGTCTTATTGTCGTTGTAAAAGTGCTGCAAGTAGGTCCTGTTCATATTGTTTCTGGCTTTTTCTTCTTCTTGGCTTTCTTTCTGCCTCCTGGCTTCTTCTTCTTGCCTCTCTTCCTGTCTTCGGGCTTCCCCTTCTCGTCTTATTTTCTGCCTTCGGTTTTCCTCTTGTTGATTTTCTTCCTGTACCTATCTGATCTTCGTGTTGATATAAAATTGCTGCAAGCCGGTTCTGTTTCTCTTGTCTTCGATATTTTTCAACCTGACCAACATTTGATTAGCCTGCTCTGCTTTCGGCGGGTTGCTGTCGTATGTATTTATCATGGATTACCTACTGTTTCTTGTCTAATTCCCAGATAGAACTCGATGGGAAGTTGCAGAAAAATCACTTTTTTTTCGTTGTCGAAAACCAATTTCAGTTCAACAAAAGTTCACCTATTGTCCCCACCCACTAATAAGCTCAAACTAATCCACTAGGTAGTTACCCTGCCGGTTGTTTCACTATTTAGCTCAAACTAATGCACCACTGCCTTGCTAATGATCCCATTTCTGTCACCAAATTATAACCGCGGGTCCACTAAAAGCTCACTGTACTAATGATAACAACTGTTGTGGTAAAGATGAGTTTTGAGTTAAGGACGAAGTGGAATAAAACTTCCTTATTTACAAATTCGCCGACGTTTCGACCTTTTATTTAAGTCTTTATCAAGGCTGAGAGCAAGAAAAACATTCACAATTACTATCATATGATACTGACAGTTATCCAACAATTAGATTAACAGTCAAGTCAGAAAGATCATATTTTAATTTTTTTTTAAATTCTTCCTCAATGTTAGGTAAATAAATGCAAATTATGTGAAGTAACCTTTTAAAACAAACATAATAAAAAAAGACACACAACACAATGACATTTATTGTGTAGCCCCTTTCATGTAATGGAAATACAAAGTCCTTTTTGTAAAAAAATATAGAAAAATAGGCTCAAGAATATAAAAGAATCCTTCCTTTTTACTTTATACAACGGAAGTTTCCAAGTCAAAAAGCTCAAAATACAATTCCATGATACACCGGACAAATGCGACAATAATCTCAAACATCCACATCCAAAATTAGAAAAATACGATAATTTGAATTAAAACCAAGCAAATGCACACACAGACCGAACCAAACACAGGCGGACTAAAGGTATATTAACTTGAGCGGTATGCTACAGCCCTTTTCATTAAATAAGTAAACAAACGATTTCTCATTTTCCTATTTTCCTTTTCGGTTGGTTCTGGCTCATATCTGCATATTGGCATCTATCTAAAAATCTCACTATGTGGAGTATTAATTTTCAATAAATTTATTTAATGGCTGTACTGTATGCTTAGGCCTTGTTTGTCTACTCTTTTATTACCCGTATCTATAGGGTTATGTAAATCATTTCGGTCACATTACTCTAAAAATAATTACTTTCTCTGTTTAAAATTTTCGCACTTGAATAACCAAATTTATGTCCTGTAGAAAAGTGATGTTGGGTTATTGTCTTGATTGGCCGATATACAGGGTGTCCCCGTTCAACTGTACAGAAATGCTAGGGTATATAGAGGACCCACAGAGAAGTAGTTTGAGATAGGACACCGATGGTCGGAAGTGCGTCGTTGCCAAAATACAGGGTGTTGAAATTTAAACAACCCCCTTTCATATCATCTGGAGGGCTAATGCTAGGCTGGTCAAATTTTCGGGGATTATTGATGTAAGAATGATATTTAAAATTTCGTATAATGCACCCCCCATTTTCTACCTGGAACCACCAAAACAAAAAAAATTGAAACAAAGTGCTTTTTTTTCAAGGGACACCCTGTATGTATATTTAATATTTAATAACAACAGTTATTGAACTAATTTGACTTGACAGAAAATTCACTAATCACTTATCGTTTTCATTTAATTTCAGAAAATCATTCTCTCATTTAACACTGACTTCCGACTTACAAACTACGCGCTTTGAATAGGAAAAAAATCACTTTGAGACTTCTCTAGAATCACTCGGGAACTTGAATCACACAATAGGGTTCCTGAACACCGGCGCTGCGTCGTAAACGTAAACAATTTCGCCGGCCTCTCCCCTTACAACATTTTATGTACCATTGCTTTTTTACGAGAAAGAAAACATAATAATATTTAGGCTTGTTGAAAAAATTTACTCTTGCCACATTAGTTTCATAAAAAAATTAAAAAATTGATGTATGTACAGGGTGGGCATTTTATTAGGGGCCTATGTCTTTTCTCAGAAACTACAGGGTGTACAAAAACAATATAAATACAAAAGTTTCTTGGTTTTAAGCAATGTTGTCAATTATTTGCGTTTTATTTATACAGGGTGTCCCAAAAATGCTGCACCGACTTCAAAACCAAAATTTTAAATGGAACACCCTGTATGTTATTGCATATTTGAATTCTACGTAAAATTCTGAGCAGATTTCATGTAATATACCCTATACCTAAGTTCAACTGTTTTGGAAATATTGACAGTTGAAAATTGACTTTTTGGAACTTTGACAGGCTGTAAAACCTAAATGGTTAATTTTAGACGAAAACCGATTATACATTCCTATCTTAGATTTTTATAAACTATCATTTGACAGACACCAACTTTGAATTTAATCCACGATTAAAAATTCCAGTTTAATTTAATCTCCGGTTAAATTCAAAGTTGGTGTCAAATGATAGTTCATAAAAATCTAAGATAGGAATGTAAAATCGGTTTTCATCTAAAATTAACCGTTTAGGTTTTACAGCCAGTCAAAGTTGCAAAAAGTCAATTTTCAACTGTCAATATTTCCAAAACAGTTGAACCTAAGTATAGGGTATATCACATGAAATCTGCTCAGAATTTTACGTAGAATCCAAATATGCAATAACATACAGGGTGTTCCATTCAAAATTCTGGTTTTGAAGTCGGTGCAGCACTTTTGGGACACCCTGTATAAATGAAACGCAAATAATGACAACATTGCTTAAAACCAAGAAACTTTTGTATTTATATTTTTTTTGTACACCCTGTAGTTTCTGAGAAAAGACATAGGCCCCTAATAAAATGCCCACCCTGTACAGGGTGGTCCAAATTGGACACTCTCTTATGGAAACTTCTTTTATTTTTAGAGATAGAAAAATATGAACCCCCCACTCTGAGGCTCAAATTTCATGAAATTTTGATTGGTGCAAACCGCATTTTGATATCTTCAACCGCTTAGCCGCTAGAGGGCGATTCTCGATTTTGACCAATACTGTGAAACCTTCATAACTTTTTTGTTTATGAAAATAATTGATTTCTGTAAAAACTTTCTTGAAGAACTTTTTTGAGCAGAATTCAGTGACGTTCTCATTTTTTTCTTAATTGACTCCGATTTCGAGATATTGACCAAAATCCGACTTTTTTCAATAGAACACCCTATATTTTAATAGCTTATTGGAAAGCCCTGCTCTGCTGATTTCAATGATATAAAATTCGATAGGTTTATCACTAACAGTTTTCGAGAAAAAAAAATTATTTCTTTTTTTGTCATAAGAAACAATGTGTTAGAAAGAGACCTATCTCGTTTTCCTTACAGATATAAAGTCCTTTTCCAACACATTGTTTCTTATGACAAAAATCGAAATAATTTTTTATCATTGAAATCAGCAAAAGCAGAGCTTTCCAATGAGCTATTAATACATAGGATGTTCTATTGAAAAAAAATCGGATTTTGGTCAATATCTCGGAAACAGAGTTAAATAGAAAAAAGCTGAGAACGTCACTGAATTCCGCTTAAAAAAGTGCTTCTGAAAGTCTTTACAGAAATCAATTATTTCCATAAACAAAAAAGTTATGAAGGTTTCACAGTATTGCTCAAAATCGAGATTCGAGAATCGCCCTCTAGCGGCTAAACGGTTGAAGATATCAAAATGCGGTTTGCATCAATCAAAATTTCATGAAATTTGAGCCTCAGAGTGGGGGGACCATTTTTTTGTATCTCGTTCAGAAATTGACGTTTCCTATTAAAAGTGTCCAAATTGGCCCACCCTGTACAAGGGGATCTATTATAAATGTCACCCCCTCCTAACTTTTTCATTAGACGTTTTTGACGAAAGAGTCAAATACAAAAGTTCCAGGAAATTGTCAAAAGTTTTTAACTAAGTCAGTTTCAAGCATACAGAGTGCGTCAAACAAGTTTAGCAGTGCAAAGTTATATTAGTAGTAAATGGAATACCAGATATATTGTACGCTTATTTGATAGTCCCCTTCAATAGTTATAGGGAAAAACATGAAAACCCCTTTAAAGGTCTCATGTCGAAGAAAGAAAAAGTATGACACTTAAGCTTTAGAGAGAATTGTTTCTAAACAACTTATTGTTCAAATGTTATTCATTAATTTACAAGGTGAAATATCATAATAAATCCAGATGTCTTGAGCTATTATTATTATTATTTTTTTTAATAACATGATACTTAGAAAGGGATTTTCGCGTTTTTCCTTTTAACTATCGAAGATCAACCGAGAGATAAATATATCAAACCGTATATCGTTGAAATCAGGTTGAAGGGGACTAACAAATAAGCGCATAATATACATGGTGCTCCGTTTAAAAAAATACAACTTTGCTCTGCTACAGTTTTTTGACGCACTCTGTATGATTGAAACTGACTTAGCCAAAAACTTTCGACAATTTATTTAAACTTTTGTATTTGACACTTCTGTCAAAAACGTCAAATAAAAAAGTTAGGAGCGGGTGACATTTATCATAGATCACCCTGTACAGGGTCTGTTCCTTATAATTAGTGCGGCTTCTCCAGCTTGAACAAAAAAAAAAAAAAATAGAAAAAACAGTTAAATACAAAAGTTATAGGGTTTTATCTTTATTATCTTTCGTACATGTCAAAATGGGCAAATGACTGGTGCCAACTCTCATAATGCCATACAGTCGGACATACACTTGCATTTTTTTAATGGAACACCCTGTATATTCTTGACCAGAATGATTTATTTGTTTCTTCTGATTCAAATATACCATAATATGTTGATATTTGGTTCAGCTGTTTTTGCGTTATTTAAATTTAAAATTGCATTTCAGTAACCCTCACCATTTATATAGGAAACCGGGAACAGACCTAATTTACGGTAATGTAAATGCATTTTTAAACTTAAATAGCGTAAAAACAGCTAAACCAAATATCAACATATTATATGGTATATTTGGGATCAGAAGAAAACAGTCTATCATTCTATGTAAAAATATACAGGGTGTTCCATTTAAAAAATGCAAATGTTTGTCATTATGACAGTCGGCACCTGTCATTTGCCCGTTTTGACATTTGCAAAAGGTAATAGAGATGAAAGCCTACAACTTTTGTGTTTAACTTTTTCTTGTTTTAGTTGCAGAAGACGCACTGATTAAAAGGAACAGTCCCAGTCCCTGTACCTGATTTAGTGTGAACTTTATGCTACCAGTACAATAACAAAAATAAAACGCATTTAAATTTTTGTAATGAAAATATTTTTTTGCCATTAGCCATGATATATCACTAATTGATTACTTTTAAGCCCGGTTGTACAGGGCCTTTCCCCATATATTGACCCCCCCTCCCACAGGGGTTATGTGAAGAGATATCAAAAAATTTTGAATACAAGAGTTTTGGGGCTTTACCTGTAATTTTTGAATCCGATGTCAAAAACTTTTTGTCATTTAGAAATATCAATTTGTGACAGATGGTCAGTTTTTTCTTATAGAACACCCTATATATGACGTAATAGTTGAAAAGAGTCGATTTTTCTGATTTCAAGTATACATGGTTTTACTACTTTTAATTGAGCCGTTTTGGATATATCGGGGTCTTCAAGAAAATTATACATTGAAACACATAGCTCTGTTCCAACCGACATGAAACCTGTCCTATAATAGAATGGTAATTTCCAGTTGCCCACCTGTTTTTCAATAAGTTGAACGTTTATTCGATTTGACAGATGAATTGGGTGTTCCATAAGAAAAAAGTGATCATCTGTCAAAATTTGACATTCCTAAAAAACAAAAAAGTTTTTGACATCGGATTCAAAAATTTCAGGTTAAACCCCAAAACTTTTGCATTTAAAATTTTTTGATATCTCTTCACATAACCCCTGTAGGAGGGGGGTCAATATATGGGGAAAGACTCTGTACAATCGAAGCTTATACAGTCGCTCGAGATAAACTTGACTGGTATTTGCGTTTCAAATGCATTGCTAGGTTCAAGTACCTACCAGTCGAGCTTAAGTTAAGGAAGCGTTCGAGCTCCAATTGTAGAACCGGCCCTAAATTGTGCATTATAATGCATAAATACTAGTTTATCAAATCCAATAACGGGGCTTAAGAGTACCAGCTCTAATAATTTTTTTCCATCTCAATATTCTAAGATGTCCTAGAGCTAGTAGACTCAATTACATAAAAAGATTTGTAAAAAAAATTGATAGTCTTGAGTTTTTATTTTCAAATTTCCTATATATTTTACCAAAATTATTACGATTTAAATTCCTGTTATTTCAGCGCTATCCTATAGATATTTTATAATAACATAGGCAGTAGTGTCGAGTATCTACCTCAACCGTCGCCGTCGTCCCTGTGATAGCAACGAACAATGGACGCGTCCCAGGTAACATCAGCTACAAACGATTGGTGGACAGCAATACGCGGAGGGCAATGGAGTTGCCTTCAGTCGCTGTTGCCTGTTGGCCACTATGTTTTAATAAGCCTGGCGCTTGCCGTTGTAGTCAAGCTTTGCTCGAACGCTTTTGGACAGAGGTTGGATCGTATTCGCAGGGTATTGGTCTCTATCAATCTCACTTTTTTTTTTCCTTTAGTTAATGTCGATGTGATGTTATTTATAAATGCTTGAATGCCGGATTAATTGCCAAAAGTTACTAAAAATTAATTTCTGAATTGGAAAAAGACACAATTAGAAGCACAAAATATTAAATCTGAAGCAGCCAAATGGATTAATTTAAATTGTACGGTTGTGATTTGGCCATTTTTTTATGAAAATTTACCTATTTTAGCATATGTCTTTGTAGGATTTCTCATTAATCATTCATAGAAGGGGATACCTACATATATTTATCTATCCATTCTATCTCAATGCATGTTTTTCATATTCATAATTCATATATTCTTGAAGACATCTTGTACGTTTGGTTTGTACCAGACGTTTTTGCATTTTTCAAGCATGCATGAGTGAACTAAAACGATCTGTACTAACTATTAGAGCATAGCATAAACCATAAACTATAGACGGTGCATCATTGGTTTTATTTTATTTATTTTGTGGTAGCCAGACATCTTGACTTCATATCTAGGTATCTATGCTGTTCAGATTGTTATTATGTGCACAAACCACAAGCCCCATTGAAAATAGATGATGATGAGGCTTTTTCATCTATTAATAGTATATTTAGCTATAAATTACTAAGGATTTGTATCGGAGCGGATATAAGCATTACAGAAGGAAGTTGGATTTAAAGTTTTTAAAACGGATGCCATTTAATTGTGCGTCCGGAATCTTAGCATAAAATAATTCTCCAGTTATTCAAAAATTATATATTCAGCTAAAATCGTTGGCAAGAACTCTCACCTGTGACAAAGTTTACATATTAATGTTGTTTTGAAAATATTGATGTTTTGCCAAAATAATTCAGAGTTTATGAAGCCTACAAAAAAATCATAATTGAAAATGTTTACTTAGGACTTTTTAGTATATTCCAGGATGTACCGTTTTTCTCTATGCATAATATTTATTCACTCGGATAATATAAATAGCCACCCTGCAGTATATGAAAAAGGATATCTATGTCTATTAACTTAGCCAGTAATTAAAAGGTTTCTCATCTTCCGCAGTCTTACCTTCTAATAATAGATAGAAATTCCACTTGGAATAGGGCCTCGTTATCTCGAGTGTGTTGGCATAGCAGAAAATTCAAATAGAAATTCTGTGTCTGGTTCTGAATGACTGTTAAAGTATTTGGGAGCGATGCTTGCTATGCAAATTGAACTGGATACGGGATAACATATCCAATATTTGTTTTATTGTTTTACTATGTTTGGTGAATACTTTTGGCCTTATTTCTACCTTACGAAGTTTCTTAGATATTTTTTTTATGATAGCGGTATGATGGCCACGTTCAGCCAAGTCCCCAAGTTAATCTGCATTGGAAGGATATGCTTGTGATTTTGTGATGAAGGGGCAACTGAAGCAAAAGTGTGTAAGAATTTTTTTTAAAGTCAATTGGCAATAACTGGCTGAAAAACACTTTTCGACTTAAAAATTTAATTAAACCAATTTCTACGTTACTGAGGATAAATTGAGAGAATGTCGACGACCTCCCTCGTCTGTGCGAAAATCCTTAAACTGCTGTGCTCTAAATCAAATTATTATTTGTTGATGATTTATGATCCGACAAACAATTGAATTGATTAAAACCAAAAGTGGGCATGGGAGTGTTTTCACCATCACCAATGCAATCGGACCATGTAATCGAATCGTTTTATTCCTGTCCCGAACGATTACCTCCGGATAACCAGACGACCCACGGGCCTATTAATACTTTATTGCAGCTTCATTAAGTCAGTCGGTAAACTTCCAGTGTAATGGAAATTTCAAGTAGTCTTTCTCTTAAATAAAAGCTTGCCGCTAACCAATTAAATAGTGTTTAATAATTAGTTATTTTGGAAAAATCTCGAATTAAAAAATAATGTCTTTCTTTTTCAGAACGTAGAAGATAAAGGTGCTCCACCAGTAGACGAAAAGGTCAAACTTGATGAAGTTCAACCAACTGAAAACATTGAATCTGTCGCTGCTGCGACTAACGGCGAAGCAACCCCGGAACAAACCGGAAAACCTGCTGCAGCTGAGGCTAAAGAAGAAGCACCTAAAGCAGTAGAGGAAGCATCAGAGCCGGAAGAAATGCCAGCTGAAGAGAAAAGGGAAGATGAGCCTGTTCTAGAAGCAGCTTCCAAACCAGTTGCTGCTGTCAACGAAGCGACAACTGAAATTGAAGAGTCTAGTAAAGAGGTGCGTACTGAGGAAGTGCCCCCGCCGTTGCCCTCGTCCAACCCCCCATCTCCGGTCACAGTTTTTGCCGAGTCTACGAAAGCGGAGGCTGCACTCACTTCTGGTCAAGTTCCTCGTGAGGTTCAAGAACCTGTCGAATCTTCTGTATTAGTTCCGGTTGATACTAAACCACCTAAGACAGAGGATTTAGAAGTTCTTGAAACTCCCGTTGTTTCTAAACAAATTTCGGCTGTAGAAACAGTTGCCGAACCATCACCTCCTGCTCTTCAAGATTCTGTACCAGAACCACTTCCTCCTAGTCCTCCTTCACCTGTGCCTGAAAAAATGGAATCATTAGCTTGCCTATCTGGACCGATAGTAATAGTTAAGTTACCCAAGCCAATAGAGACCAAAGAAATACCCGATCCTTCACCATCTATTGAAGATTTACCACCGGCACCGCCATCTCCCATACCTGAAAAACATATTGATTCAAAACCAGAATCCGCACCAGCCATTATTGATTCTGTGCCAGTTACTGAGTCGACACCAAATCTTGACGAGTCTTTACCGGTAGTTGACCTGGAACCTATTCCAGTCGTTGAACCTTTACCAGTAGTTGATCCTGAACCTCTACCAATAACTAAATCGTCACAATTGGTTGCCCCTGAACATGTTCCAATTGTTGAATCTTCACCAGTGGTCGATCCTGAACTTGTAGCAAATGTCGACTCTCTACCAGTAGTTTACCCTGAACCTGTGCCAATTATTGAATCTTCACCGCTAATTGAATCCGAACATGTTCCAATTGTCCAAACTGAACCAGAAGACAATGTCAAACCTGACCCAGTTCACGACTCTATAATAGTTGAAGCTTCTCCTGGAGAACCTGAATTGATTTCTGAAGCCGCACCAGCAGAAGCAACAAATGCAGAATCTGAACCTACCAAGGTCCAGCTTGGAGAAGAATTAAAAACCAAAATAGAGAGTGAACTCAACCAATCTGTAGATTCTGTTGTTTCAGAGGGCCACGTAGAACCCTCAACCCCTCCTTCAACGCCTGCTGCAAATTCCGAAATCCCTGCAACGGAACTTGCAATACAGTCTGTAATCCCTGCCTCTTCGTCATTAGACATTTCCGAGCCAGTAGTCGCCACAGCAGATTCGTTGCCTGACATTTCAACTGAATCGCTACCAAGCCTCCCCGAACTGTTATCAGAAAGCCTAGCCCCCATGTCACTTCCTCCTGTGGATTCAGTACCTGAACCCATTGCCCCATCCTCAGAACCTACATCACAAGAGGAACCACTTATCCCTCCTCCTGTCGCGCCTCTTACAAACGGCAACGTAAATGGACACAGTTCTCCATCGCCTGTGGAGGAGGAAAACCAAGTATTAGAAACAGAGGTGCCAGGACCAACGAAACAGGTGATGTTTGATTAGGCCCGATAGCAGGCAATGAATTAAATGGACACGCGCTCTTTGTAGTTGTTTTCTGGCTACTGGGTGGGCAAAAGGGCCTTGGTTTTTTTATTGGATTGGATCCTTGTGTATAAATATCCGTCTAAACAGAGACGCCAGAGCCGCCAATGATCAAGGTATTAAGTGGTCAGACTATCCATGCACGGTAAAATTCTGGTCCGAAAGTATTGCCAAAGTCAATAATTTATGTTAATAAGAAGCCAGATTGGTAGTAATCAGTCGCTTCTTTGGCTACTATTTATTCCCATACAATTTAGAGTCTCCAAATTGCAGTGGAAAGGTCTTCTGGCATCCTATTTGCCTCTTGCCTCACAGCTACCAAAGATAAGGGGGCTCTAATAAAACTTTTACTTCGTGGCCTTGTTTTGCTTTTGCTTACTCTTTCTCTCTCTATCTCTTCAGCCTAAATTTGAATCTTTGGCAGCTTTGGGCAAATGAGAAGCCCAAGGGAAGCAATAATTAATACCCCTCAAAGTTATCCAAGATAGATATAAAGGGCGCCTTCACGATTAACAGAGTGCCCCTATCATAATTGTACCGTTACCATGAACTAAAATGAGTGTCTTTGGTAGCCATTGAGCCAAGAATAAGCCCAAGAGAACACCAAACGAGTTTCTTGCAAAACCTCTGGCGCCTCTAATGTACTACGAAAATCCACCAGAGAGTGGAGGAACTGAAGGATGTGGACTTTTCGAACGTAAATTTCTGCCCCTAGTACATTTGTGAATAATTAACATTCATAAATCTACCTGATGGAAATTAAAGTTTAAGAAGAGTCGCTTTCTATGGCTTCTTTTAATTTAACATAATTTGTATGTTTATGTAGCCTACATGGCTGTATAGATTTTTTACCAAGGATCCTTCCGACTTCTCTACGTCTTACTTATGGTGTAACTTTGGGTTGGTTGAAGGTCCATTGGGCACCAGCTACTTCCAGGACAATATTTTATTATTTTTATCCATTTTTATTTAAGATTATATATTGATAGATAATTTCAGATGTAATCAGTAAAAATGCATTACTTTCTACCTACACCTTGCACCATTCCAAAGTTGCATACACCAAAATCAAAGTCACAAAAACCCACTTTTTTGCATCACCTAGTAAATAGAGCTGTTATGATGTAAATACTAAATTAAATAAGACCTACTTGCTCGATTTTTAGTTGTTTGATTGCATTTTAGAACAAACATTTAAGTATTAAGTTTTGGTTTTGACAAAAAAATTTTGTTTGTGCTAACCCATGTTGATTTACCTTTAATATCCCTAACTAATAACATCAAAAATAATTAAACTTGTTTCCAGTTTGTGGTCTTGTTTATTTTTTTAATAAGTTGGTTCTTGCATCCTCTAATATTCATAGGAATATGATTGTTTTTTTTTTGGCAAAAAATTACATAGGGTGCCTTCAAAAACAATCATAATAGTTTTGGTTGAAATATTGCAGTAGAATTGCTTTTTCAAAAAATATTAGAAATGCTCTGGCTGATGATTTTTCAGGGAATAATTCATTACTTTGTTTTTTGAAGTGAATTTCAAGTTGTATAGAAATAATTGTTTAATCAACACTATTCCAGGTTGATTTATGTATGTACATATTCCCTAGAAACTGCATTTCAGCCATCATTTTAAAATGTAAATAACAAACAGTAAAATGAAAAATCACTAAACTTCACGTAAACATTTTTGTTTTTCAGGTTGTCTCTGATCAGGCAAAAGAGAGCGAAATTAGTCCCGAGGCTGATGATAACCCCAGGGAAACAGCACCAGCGGTAAGAATTAGTTTTATCTTTTCGTAAATTGATTAATTGTTGTTTTTTAATTCATAGGTAGTGCCAGCCGTTGAGGAATAACCATGCCTCTAATAGAAACACTACCCAATCTACATAAATTGATTTTGAAAATCATTCCTCGGCAGTGATAGTGTGAAATTTTCGACCAAAAATATTTCTAGGTATCAAATCCAAAATCAAAAATATCATGTAACTGTAATAAAATGCAATTATTCGGCCCTACTAGAAAGTACCAATAATAAAAATATAGTAAACAATAATTAAAATGTCCACATCGCGCAAGAAAATGTAGCATTTGAAGAAAATTTTTAATACTCCCTTTTATAAATGTTTTGTATGTAATCCTTTAGTAAGGTTTCTCCACAATTTTTGAACAATTTTATAATATAAAAATGTATGTGTCGACCAAGGATCCGACTTTTTTTTATCAATACATATTATATTTAGTTGTATAATAAATAAAACAAGTTAGTGTTTATTACCCATAGAAGTAACATGATGTGCTTCTTTTATTTAGTATATTATATTAGCCTGTAATATTAATAATTTTATCGTAATATTAGCACTTTTTTTTCTTGTAAGTATGTGTCTTTTATGTTTGAACCACTAACAAATCAGCAATCGGTGAACGCCAATAAAATATTTTAGAAAATGTTATTCGCTTTATCAAATCGTTGATTCTTATTGGATTAGACCTATTATTTTAATTTTTGTCTTGCTTCAGCTTCAGTTGAACCTAACATTTTGTGGTCAGTTGAAAAAAAAAACTAACAAAAATTTGAATTTTTTTTTTTGCTCATATACATACATACATATACCTATCTGAATCGTAAATTTATGGATGTGTAGAATAGATATTGTTTAAGGCTGTCCTTTAATCTTTATTTTATCTAATATCTCTAATCAGCATCAAATCAATTTCTCATTATACAGGATTCAGGTCGTTCATGTAGATTCATTTTTGTTTACATAGACACATTTCTACACTCAAAAAAAAAATCCTTCTGGAGAGAAATAATCATCCTGTATAATCCAATTATTGGTTTCGAATTGCTGATTATTTAATATATGGAGGCAGCTTCTGACACACTCATCTTGTCTTTTTTTGGCTGATGCAAGGACCAAATGACTGTGTTCAAAATGTTATTAAAAAAATCAAATTATGAAAGTTTTATGTACAGTTGGTCTTTTGTATAAATTTGCAACGAATTTTATTTGTCTTGGCGCTAATTATTCCGAATCCCTGTTTGAAAAAAAAATGTTGTTGTGAACAGTTTATTTAATTTTTTTTTTGTCAAATTATAATCCACAGCTGTTTGATATTTCACATATTAATAATACTCGAATGACTTATCATTATGGCTGTGGTATTTGGTGGTACATAAAAACCCCCTCTTTCATGTAATGTGTGAATGTGTTTATGATATAAATAAATAATTAGGATGTTTCCTACAAAAATTGTTTTATTATTTTCCCCTTTTGCCTTTTCAGTTTGAAGTGAGTTAGTAGAAAAATTTATGGAGGGTTGTCAGAAGCGTAAATCATTGTAATACACATAAAAATGTGTTAAATAGTTTCAGGAATAACGAATTATACGATAATAATAATGGTGTCACAGCCTCTCTGTGACGGGAGGTGTAGGGTGGATGGCTGGAGAGAAACTCGCTCAGTTTTATATAAAAAGGTGAATATTTGCTAAGAAAGTCATTACGTCATGAATCCTCCCGGATACATGCTCTTCCGTGGGAAGGACCACACGTTCGACGCTACTTAGGAAGGAATGTCTGTTTGATGCTAATGTCACGTAGAATGTTAATCGTTGTTTAACTGATCCTCATCTAGAGGAGCTTTCCCAGGGTGGCGGTACTTGCACTGGTTCAAGTCTATCTGTTGCTCGGCTTGGCCCACTATTTATATAAATTTATTGCTAAATTGCAATAAACATCCGATCGAATCGGCAATTAAATTAATAAGTTCGAATACTGGGTCATCCTTTCCTAAGTACCTAGTTGACATATGCCCCCCCTCCATGAAGCATTGGACCCCCAATACTTGAAAGAGATTACCTCTTCAGCCATGGGTTTTTTTATTTTGGCCTGGTCCTATTTTCTGTATTGTGGGTCTGTTCTGGTTCCAAGTACTTCTTGGTGAGTCAGCTAGATTCAGTGGGGTGTAAACGGTCCCACAGTCTAAGTGTTGTTGCCTGGTTCCAAGTGATTTGGTCATCTGGGTCGTGGGTTTGCGCGGTCCCACGGCTCAAGTAATCCTTGATCATTTCCTTTGCGAATGTGGTGGAAATGGTACTGTGGTCTGTCTACTTTTGGTCCATACCCATTTGTTTCTTCTGGTTTGAAGTTCCTAGCCCCTACTCAGTCCAGAGCTAGATCCTTTTATTACAATGCCTTCCATCGAATTCGCTTTGTAGTCCGTCCCTGGCTGGTGGTTTTGTATATGCAAAAAAAATAAATTGATATACAAAAAAATGCTTATTATGCTTATTGCCTATAATTAATTTAATTATGACCCACATCCGGGCCACCAAATTTCATCATTTGCTTATTTGTTGATCATGACTCCAACCGTTTAGTCCAACTGTTTTTTTTGTATACCTACCCATATGTCTTCTTTTTGTAGCTTCCACTCTTCTAAGATCCCTTCGGCGGCTTCTTCCGTCGGTAAGAATATTTCTGATTGTTCTTCTTTTTTAGTAATTCATATTCTCTATCTTCCCTTAGAATTATGAGGTCATCCACTATAGTTTCCTCTTATATTGAGCTGTCATTCCTATCCATTCCTCCTTGTTTACCATATTTAATGTCTAACTCCATTTTTTTTTATCCTTTCTCTACTTCCTATTTCCCTACTTCATAGTTTTGCTTATGTTTTATCTGTTTTCTTCCTCGTTTTCTGCTTCACTGCTTCCATTTTTCTCTTCAATTTTTTCTTCGTCTTCTTCATCTTCATCAACTTCAGATTCTGCGTTTTCAGCTATATCTGTCTCATCTGCCCTTTCTTCAATAGGCGCAGCTTCTGTCCATGGATCGTAGTAGGCTAACATCCTACTCACGTGGACCGTATCCTTTTTTCTGCTTCCAATCTTTTGTACCTCGTAATTCACTTCTCATTTTTCTAATTACTTTGTATGTTCCAAACCATCTTGAGAGTAACTTCTCGCTTCTTCCAACCTTTCTAATTGGTATGAACACCTTAACTTTGTCTCCAACTACGAAATCTAATTCTCTATGTCGTTCGTCGAAACGTCCCTTATCTTTTCCTCGTCTTTTTCGTATATTTTCTACTGCTATGGCTCTTATCAAGAGTGCCTTTTCTCTAATTTGCAGAGCATCTGTTTCGTTGTCAGCTTCCAACAATGCAGCTTCTGCTGGTAGTGTGGGTTCCCTTGTATATGTTAACATAAATGGGCTAAATCTTGTTGTGTCCTGTATCGCTGTATTATACGCAAATGTTATAAATGCTAGATAGCTACACCAGTCCATTTGCTGTGTGTTACAATACATGGCTAACATGTGTAACGTTCGCCAAGGGTTGTATTTTATATACCTACTCTCTATTCTTTTTAGAAATAAAACATCCACTCACTTGTTGAGTAAATTTATTGTAAACTTATATGCAAGTTCAATTATTGAAAGAGGACCTAATTGGTTCCTACTTCCTATTTATAATACAGTCAAACAATAGTACCAACTTAGTACAATACTTATTATTCTAGTACCAACCTAAACTATAGTACTAAAGTATAATTGGTTGCCTATGGGTAAACAATAATTTATAATAATATATGAAAACATAAATGAAATACCTATATGTTACACATGTCAGCTATTGTCTTATTTAGACTTTCAGTCAGACCATTACAACAAGGATGGTATGCGGTTGTAATCTATCTTTTCCTCATCTGGTAGGATTCCTTTTCCGCTGACGGGAAAGCCTAAGATTTTAATTTCTTGCTTCAAGTATTCACATTTGCTTAGCGTGAAGGTCAAATTTGCTTGCCGCAGTCGTTCAAAAACCTTTCTTAGTTTTTTCAGATGCTCCTCTATAGTTTTGGGAAAGATAATTATATCATCTAGGTAGATCAATATTTCCTTCCATTTTAGGTCCCAAAAGACTCTATCAGCTAGTTCTTGGAAGGTTGCTGGAGCGTTACATAGTTCGAAGATTAGTACGTTGAATTCGTAAGATCCATGCCCTTGTGCTATAAATGCAGTGTATGGTTTAGAGCTTTCTTCGACAGGTACTTGCCAGTAACCCAAAAACATATCTAAGGTGCTGAAGTAGGAAGCCTCCCCTAAATATGATAGAATATCATCGATTTGGGGTAAAGGGTACGTTGATTTCCTTGTCTGTAGTCCACACAAAATCTGGTGTTTCCATCTTTTTTCTCGACTAGCACTACTGGACTAGCCCATGGTGAGTGACAAGGACGAATCACACTGCTCTCTAGCATTTCCTGAATTTTTTCATCAATTATTTGCCTCTCTTTCTGTGATACTCTGTATGGTTGACTTTTTATTGGTTTGGCGTTCTCTATTTTGATTTTATGTTCAGTCAGATTTGTCCTGCCCATGTTTTTTGCTGATTTGACGAAAATGTCATTGTATTCGAGAAGGAGTTCTTGAAGTGCCTGCTTGCTTCTTTCGTCTTTGATACTTTCTATCTTGTGATCTTCTAATGTTACTCTTTCACTATTATTTATTAGTTATTTCTTATTTCATCCCGTATTAAAAAATTATATAAGTGATTTTCCTGTTTCTTCTTCCAACCGTGCTACGTGCTATTGTGGTTCCAAATAATGCCACTGGAATTTTTGTTTTTGCTTCTAATTTAATAGCAAGGTTGCTTTCGCAACCAAAAATATGTGATTTTATATTGATCTGGTTTTTCGTCAATCCATCCAGGTTGTATTTACAACTATAGCCCATGTTTTCTGTCATTTTGCTCGTATCTCCCATGATTTTCAGTTCTACGATTGCCTCCTCACCCGGTTTTATTGTGTAATCCTTTGCTGCTCCTATTTTGTATTCTTGTTTCCCTGCTTCTGTGTATATTTGTAGTAATGGCGTAATTTCTTCTGCTGGCTTTGGTGTACTTTTTGCTGCTCGTTGGTCCCTGATTATACGGATTTTAATTTTGGTGTCTTTGAAAATAAAATAAAGCATCTGCTTGAATCTGAACAATTCTTTATCTAGCTCTTATCCTTTTCTAGGAATTAGTATTTTTCTGCCATTCTTTTGTAGTGCGGTTTTTCTCAATTCTAGTAGACATTTGAAAATATTTCTTGGCGTTGGTTTCTTTTCACATGTTTCTCATGTGAACAGGAAAAACGTTGTGTTTCCCTTATGCTGTACCACCGATAAATTTCCAATATTTCCCTGTTTCTTTTTTGGAGGGAGGATGTGTCTATATTTTATGTAGACTTCCTTTTTGGTTCTGTAATTTTAGTCGACTCTCATAGTTAAAAATTCATCCTGTGATAAGTTTCTGATGTCCCCGCGTATTCTTCTGTCAAAACACTCTTGAAGTTGTCCTTATTTATATTTTTGTAGTTTTTCACAAATTCATCAAAATCGTCGGTTTCGTGTGTGTGATTTTGCTTGCTTCTGTCTTCTTGTATAGAAATTAGCCCAGACATGTTGACATTTTGTTCACTCTTATGGCATAGCGGGATTTTGTATTTTCCGTTCAGGATAATTACTTTTTGTGCGAGGTCTATAACTGCTTTGTGCCTTGTTAAGAATTCCATACCCAATATTACTAGCGGACTTGAAGTTGCGATCACTTTGGCTGTTAGTGTGCTTTTCGATAGCGGACTTCCTGGTATTTCTATTGGTACTCTAGTTTCTCCTAAGACTGGAATTCTGTATGTCCTCCTGCCGTAATAAGAACCGTGTTGTCGTTTTTATGTAGTTGACCCGTTACTAGTTGCGTTTGAATAACGTTATTTTGTGCTCCAGTGTCGACTATGGCTGGGTATTCTATGTTATTTATCGTGATTGTGATGCATTATATCCTGCTACTAAAGTTGTTCCCTAGAGCTAGGATGGCAGGGATATCTGTTGTCGCCATCCTCTCCCGTTTGGGTGTTTTGGCTGACTTCTACAAGTTGCGGCAAAGTGTCCTGGTTTCCCACAGTTGTGGCACATAGGGTTATTTCTCTGGTTTCTTGAGTTAAGTACCACTGTCACCGCCTAACCTTTGGCTTCTGCAGACAGCTGCAAAATGTCCCATTTTTCCACAGTTATAGCACTTTTTGATGGTTGCTGGTGGCGTTGAAGCCTTCCTCAGGTCTGCTTGCATTCGGCTTCTGCATTGGGCCATCACGTGTCCCTTTTTCCACAATAATGACATACCATTATTGGTCTTGTGGTAGAGTAGTTCGTAATCTGGGGTTCTTTGGGTGTGCTTTGTTGTGGGCTCTTCTTAGGTGCTTTATC